TTCTGTTCTAGTTCTGTTCTAGTTCTGTTCTAGTTTCTGTTCTAGTTCTGTTCTAGTTCTGTTCTAGTTCTGTTCTAGTTCTGTTCTAGTTCTGTTCTAGTTCTGTTCTAGTTCTGTTCTAGTTCTGTTCTAGTTCTGTTCTAGTTCTGTTCTAGTTCTGTTCTAGTTCTGTTCTAGTTCTGTTCTAGTTCTGTTCTAGTTCTGTTCTAGTTCTGTTTCTAGTTCTGTTCTAGTTCTGTTCTAAGTTCTGTTCTAGTTCTGTTCTAGTTCTGTTCTAGTTCTGTTCTAGTTCTGTTCTAGTTCTGTTCTAGTTTCTGTTCTAGTTCTGTTCTAGTTCGTTCTAGTTCTGTTCTAGTTCTGTTCTAGTTCTGTTCTAGTTCTGTTCTAGTTCTGTTTTCTAGTTCTGTTCTAGTTGTTCTAGTTCGTTCTAGTTCTGTTCTAGTTCTGTTCTAGTTCTGTTCTAGTTCGTTCTAGTTCTGTTCTAGTTCTGTTCTAGTTCTGTTCTAGTTCTGTTCTAGTTATCTGTTCAGTTCTGTTCTAGTTTCTGTTCTAGTTCTGTTCTAGTTCTGTTCTAGTTCTGTTCTAGTTCTGTTCTAGTTCTGTTCTAGTTCTGTTCTAGTTCTGTTCTGTTCTAGTTCTGTTCTAGTTCTGTTCTAGTTCTGTTCTAGTTCTGTTCTAGTTCTGTTCTAGTTCTGTTCTGTTCTGTTCTAGTTCTGTTCTAGTTCTGTTCTAGTTCTGTTCTAGTTCTGTTCTAGTTCTGTTCTAGTTCTGTTCTAGTTCTGTTCTAGTTCTGTTCTAGTTCTGTTCTAGTTCTGTTCTAGTTCTGTTCTAGTACTGTTCTACTTCTGTTCTAGTTCTGTTCTAGTTCTGTTCTAGTTCTGTTCTAGATCTGTTCTAGTTCTGTTCTAGATCTGTTCTAGTTCTGTTCTAGTTCTGTTCTAGTTCTGTTCTAGTTCTGTTCTAGATCTGTTCTAGTTCTTTTCTAGTTCTGTTCTAGTTCTGTTTAGTTCTGTTCTAGTTCTGTTCTAGTTCTGTTCTAGTTCTGTTCTAGTTCTGTTCTAGTTCTGTTCTAGTTCTGTTCTAGTCTGTTCTAGTTCTGTTCTAGTTCTGTTCTAGTTCTGTTCTAGTTCTGTTCTAGTTTTTCTAGTTATGTCTAGTTCTGTTCTAGTTCTGTTCTAGTTCTGTTCTAGTTCTGTTCTAGTTCTGTTCTAGTTCTGTTCTAGTTCTGTTCTAGTTCTGTTCTAGTTGTTCTATGTTCTAGTTCTGTGCTAGTTCTGTTCTAGTTCTGTTCTAGTTCTGTTCTAGTTCTTTTCTAGTTCTGTTCTAGTTCTGTTCTAGTTCTGTTCTAGTTCTGTTCTAGTTCTGTTCTAGTTCTGTTCTAGTTCTGTTCTAGTTCTGTTCTAGTTCTGTTCTAGTTCTGTTCTAGTTCTGTTCTAGTTCTGTTCTAGTTATGTTCTAGTTCTGTGCTAGTTCTGTTCTAGTTCTGTTCTAGTTATGTTCTAGTTCTGTGCTAGTTCTGTTCTAGTTCTGTTCTAGTTCTGTGCTGGAAAGTTCTAGATCTATAAAGTATTATGTTCCGAATCGGCCCAACATATGGAATATGTTCTCTCGCATTGCCGACACACATGTCATGTTTATTCCTCCCTCTATTCCAACATACTCAAACATGGTGATGTTAACGTCTAGAAGGCTGGTGATGATGACAGCATTGATGTTTCATACTTAATGAGTTTCAATTAGTTAAAAAGAAAACTTTACAAAAGGTCTCAAAATTAACCCAATTTACAGTTAATTATTTAGCAACAATACAAAATTGTGTTAATTATACAAAGACATGTTGTGTTTGAAAGAATTATTAAACAATTTTCTGAGTAATTTTGTTTGTTTGACATGAAGAAGGGGTTGAGAGGTCAGAAGTGTGATTGTGTATGTATAAGAGGGCTACTAATGTAATTAGGTTGGTGTAAAAGGGTTGGCGCCGTGGAGCCAGTCAAAAAGTTGTTAATGTTTCTAATTGCTCAGTAAAAATGCTTGAATACTTATATATGTTAAATGATGCCAACATTTTTTAACTGTAACAGAATTCAATGATAAATTAGCCGACAGAACGACTGTCCACTCTTGAACGCTTTCGTAGAACCACTAACAGAACTTAGTGGTCTGGTTCTAGAGCAACTTAATACAAATGTGAAAACTTGTCTGTTTAAAAATTGCTATGACCCTTTTCTACTTTTTATTCTTTTACATATTTTTCCTATAACTCCTTCAAATATGGAATCACAGTCATCACAGCTTTGATGTATAGCTTTTACTTTGTATTTATGCGTCTTTTATTTTTTCAAAAAAACCGCGGTAAATTGGCTATCGATAAATAAATTATTATTATTTTTTTCCAATAGATTATTGAAATGAAATTTAAACGTTTATTAAGGCTTCATAAAAAAATAGTAGACAAATCAGCAATTCACACTTGATATAACAATTTGCGGTCATCACAATATAAATATTCCGTTTTTTTCTACAATAAATATCTAAGCCACAATACAGTGGGGGAGAATAGTAATGATTTAAACAAATTTTGTAAAATAGAACTAGTTCAAGAAGAGCTTCTATGAGGAGAGTCCAACAGAAACCCCGGACATGTTATCTCGAAGTATCTACATCACCTTAGTGTAATGTCGGAAAATGGAGCACCTAGGGCTAGACGGTATCTCAAATTGGAATCAGGCGATTCAATTGCGATATCAAAGTGAATTCCCCTCTTTTGACACAACTATGTACCTGTGCCATTCTCTCCTCCTTCTCGGGGTAATCATTGGGTTTTAGTCATTCCGCAACGGGTCTAGTTTAAGAACTTATGGAAATTCCGGTTTATAAACCTCATTTTTCATTTTAAGTTCTGTTCTAGTTCTGTTTTAGTTTTGTTCTAGTTCTGATCTAGTTCTGTTCTAGTTCTGTTCTAGTTTTAGTTCTGTTCTAGTTCTAGTTCTGTTCTAGTTCTGTTCTAGTTCTGTTCTAGTTCTGTTCTAGTTCTGTTCTAGTTCTGTTCTAGTTCTGTTCTAGTTCTGTTCTAGTTTTAGTTCTAGTTCTGTTCTAGTTCTGTTCTAGTTCTGTTCTAGTTCTGTTCTAGTTCTGTTCTAGTTCTGTTCTAGTTCTGTTCTAGTTCTGTTCTAGTTCTGTTCTAGTTCTGTTCTAGTTCTGTTCTAGTTCTGTTCTAGTTCGTTCTAGTTCTGTTCTAGTTCTGTTCTGTTCTAGTTCTGTTCTAGTTCTGTTCTAGTTCGTTCTAGTTCTGTTCTAGCTGTTCTAGTTCTGTTCTAGTTCTGTTCTAGTTTGTTCTAGTTCTGTTCTAGTTCTGTTCTAGTTCTGTTCTAGTCTGTTCTAGTTCTGTTCTAGTTCTGTGTTCTGTTCTAGTTCTGTTCTAGTTCTGTTCTAGTTCTGTTCTAGTTCTGTTCTAGTTCTGTTCTAGTTCTGTTCTAGTTCTGTTCTAGTTCTTTCTAGTTCTGTTCTAGTTCTGTTCTAGTTCTGTTCTAGTTTTGTTCTAGTTCTAGTTCTGTTCTAGTTCTGTTCTAGTGTTCTAGTTCTGTTCTAGTTCTGTTCTAGTTCTGTTCTAGTTCTGTTCTAGTTCTGTTCTAGTTCTGTTCTAGTTCTGTTCTAGTTCTGTTCTAGTTCTGTTCTAGTTCTGTTCTAGTTCTGTTCTAGTTCTGTTCTAGTTCTGTTCTAGTTCTGTTCTAGTTCTGTTCTAGTTGTTGTAGTTCTGTTCTAGTTCTGTTGTAGTTCTGTTGTAGTTCTGTTCTGTTCTGTTCTAGTTCTGTTCTAGTTCTGTTCTAGTTCTGTTCTAGTTCTGTTCTAGTTCTGTTCTAGTTCTGTTCTAGTTCTGTTCTAGTTCTGTTCTAGTTCTGTTCTAGTTCTGTTCTAGTTCTGTTCTAGTTCTGTTCTAGTTCTGTTCTAGTTCTGTTCTAGTTCTGTTCTAGTTCTGTTCTAGTTCTGTTCTAGTTCTGTTCTAGTTCTGTTCTAGTTCTGTTCTAGTTCTGTTCTAGTTCTGTTCTAGTTCTGTTCTAGTTCTGTTCTAGTTCTGTTCTAGTTCTGTTCTGTTTAGTTCTGTTCTAGTTCGTTCTAGTTCTGTTCATTTTTTAGTTCGTTCTAGTTCTAGTTCTGTTTAGTTCTGTTCTAGTTCTGTTCTAGTTCGTTCTATGTTCTAGTTCTGTTCTAGTTCTGTTCTAGTTTCAGTTCTAGTTCTGTTCTATAGTTCTGTTCTAGTTTTCTAGTTCTAGTTCGTTCTAGTTCTGTTCTAGTTCTAGTTCTAGTTCTGTTTGAGTTCTGTTGTTTGTTCTGTTCTGTAGTTCTGTTCTAGTTCTTCTGTTTAGTTTTTCTAGTTCTGTTCGTTTGTTGTAGTTCTGTTCTCAGTTCTGTGTTTCTGTTGTAGTTTGTTCTAGTTCTGTCTTTTCTGTCTAGTTCTGTTTAGTTCTCTTCCGTTTTTATTCGTCTAGTTTTAGTTAATCCTCCGTCCGAAGAAACACAAATAGTTTAATTCTTTCGATGAGGTTTGTTGTAAAAATAGGACCTAAAATAATGATTCATAAATATTGTCTAGGTCACTTCGCTATTTAATAATAAATCGAATGTATTTTCTGTGAATCCCACTGTACTCAATATAACCCCTTTCAAATGACTTGTGGTGGTGGTTGGTGGCGATGGAAATATGACAGCATTTAATAAAATTATTTAAAAAAACATTTAACTGTATTTTATTTCAGTTCTCTCTGATGACTGGACTAAACGACTGAAGTTCAAATGACACATCACTTGAATAATCATGTAGAAAGAATTGCTCATATAGTTTCTTTTTTTTATCTCGGTTTAATTGAAATAAATTTTAATCTATTTTAAACACATCAGATTAAATCATTTTATACTAAAAGCCATATAGTTTAAATACAGATTTCAAACAGTTAATGTCAATTTAAATTAATCCATTTGTTGTTGTTTTTGTTTCATTGCAGCTTAAATTTAATTTAATAAAATTACAAAATTTTAATTGTATTAACAACTTAAAGGAGTATTAAACAGAGAAGTAATCAAAATGCCGGCGGAAACTAAAACAGCAGCCGCCGCAGAAACGGAAACCCCCACAAAGGGTAAAAAATCACCCGTCAATAATTCGAAGGCGGCTTTGGCTCGTATTACCTTATTGGATGGTTCCATTTTGGATGTAACCATTGATGTAAGTTTCTTTTTTTATTTATTTATAAATTTTTTATAATTTTTTATAATTCCAGCGCAAAGCCAAGGGCCGTGATTTACTAAATTCCATTTGTGCTGGTCTTAATATCTTGGAGAAAGACTATTTTGGTCTCACCTATGAAACACCCACAGATCCTAGAAATTGGTTGGATTTGGAGAAACCAGTATCAAAATTTTTCCGTACTGATCCCTGGACTTTGAATTTTGCTGTGAAGTTTTATCCTCCTGAGCCTTCGCAATTGCAAGAGGACATCACCCGTTATCATTTGTGTCTACAAGTACGCAATGATATATTGGAGGGCCGTTTGCCCTGTACTTTCGTTACCCATGCTTTGTTGGGCTCGTATTTGGTGCAATCTGAAATGGGCGATTATGATCCCAAGGATATGCCCAATCGTAATTATTTGAAGGATTTCAAAATTGCTCCCAATCAGAGTACCGAATTGGAGGATAAAGTTATGGATTTACATAAGACACACAAGTGAGTAGAAAGTGTAGTTTAGAGGGACTTTCATTTTAGTCATAAGTACCTAGAAAAGGTTTGTTTTAGTTCCACAAATGTTTCAAGATCGTACCGTTGCCCCTGGATCTTATAACTTGCCTTTGAGGTTAATATTTTCATTCGAATTTGCCACCTTTAGATGTAAATCTGTGGAAAGGCTATAAACTTGCTATTCGTTCCTTCGAATCGTTCCACATAGAACTAGTTCTTTAGTCGATGACTTCTCTTTAAAATGGTTACTCTCAGAATTAGTTCTTTTTTCTTGGCAACATTTCGGGACCTAGCTCTATGACAGCTTTAGGAAACAAATAAACTTTCCTAGAAACAGTTGATGAACTAGTTCTAGGGAAGTTCTACAGAGAACTAGTTCTTTAGTCGAGGACTTTTCTTCAAAATTGTTACTCTCAGAATTAGTTCACTTTCTTGGGAACTAGCTAAATGAAAGCTTTAGGAAACAAATACACTTTTCTAGGAACTGTTGAGGAACTAGTTCCAGGGTCGTATTACATGCAACTAGTGCTTTAGTCGATGACTTTTCTTCGAAATTGTTGGCCACAGAACTAGTTCAGGGGAACGTTTAGGAAACAAATACACTTTCTTAGGAACAGTTCAGAAACTAATTCTAAGAGAGCTTTAGGAAGCAAATACACTTTCTTGAGAACAGTTTAGGAACTAATCCCATTTTCGGAACTTGTTCTAAGCAGGTGTTCAAGAGTCGATATTAGTTCTGTTCTTTAATCGAAGATTTATGTTCATAATTGTTTACTGCTGAACTAGTTCAGGAGAAGTTTTAGAAAGCTTTTACACTTTCTTAGAACTGGTTTAAGAACTAGTTCTTTTTTCGGAACTGCTTCTGTGGATGCGTAATGGAAAAGATATTTGTTCTATTAATCGGGTCTGGGATAATTAGTCGATGATTTTTGTTAGAAATTGTCACCCTAGGAACTAGTTCAGTAGAAAACAGACAATTTCCTAGAAACAGTTAAAGAACTAGTTCTATCTTTCGGAATCGATGGGATCTTAATCGATGATTTATCTTAGAAATTATCACCTTAGAAACTAGTTTAGTAGAAAAGAAATGAATTTTCCTAGAAACAATATAAGAACTAGTTCTTTTTTTAGAGCTGGTTCTTTGGAATCATAATGGAAACGATAGTTGTTCTATAAAACGGTTCTGGAATCATTAATCGATGGTTTTTGTTAACAATTGTCACCCCAGGAACTAGTTCAGGAGAAAACAGATATACACTCTTAGAAACAGTCCAAGAACTAGTTCTTTTTCAGAATGAAATTGTCACCCTAGGAACTAGTTAAGGAGAAGCTTTCGAAAGTAAATAGATTTTATTAGGAACAGTTCTAGAACTAGTTATTTTTTCGGAACTAGTTCTGAGGAGGAGTTGACATTTGTTTAGAAGAAAAGCTTTAGACCCTATTTTTAGATGATAATACACATTTTTAGAAACACTAATGGAAATAATTCTTAAATCTGAACTGGCGTTGTATATAATGATTCTGGAATCAGTACTTTTCTCAAGAACTAGATCTTTTTTTTATCCCTTTAGACTACAGGTTTAGTTTGAAAACGAAAGAACTGATATTTTTGCCAATTTGTGTGTTCCATAGTTCCAAACGATATCGTATTCTATGAATAGTGACATAGATTATAGCCATAAGTCTCTTATTTGAAAGGGAATTGGTGCCAGAGAACTACTTCCCTGAAAACTCTTTAGAAGTATTTCTGAATCACAACAACGCTCCACAGAACAGGCTCTAGATGTGACGGCGACATCAATAGTTTTATAGGTTTCTCCAGAAACCACAAAGTACTTAGAGTCTTAGTTCCTTAATAAGCTGGTACAGCTACAGTTAGGGGACTTAGACTTACAATCTAAGATTAAAGAATGATTCATAAGAAATCTATTAAATTAATAAATTTGCATTTTTCTCAACAGGGGCCAATCACCAGCCGAAGCTGAATTACATTATTTGGAAAATGCCAAGAAATTGGCCATGTATGGTGTGGATTTACATCCCGCAAAGGATTCCGAAGGCGTAGACATCATGTTGGGCGTTTGTGCCTCCGGTTTATTGGTGTACAGAGACAAGTAAGTTGCTTTTCTTTCAATCGGATTAAAACTATATTAATATATTTGTTATTTTCTATCAGATTACGCATCAATCGTTTTGCTTGGCCCAAAATCTTGAAAATCTCCTATAAGCGTCATCATTTCTATATCAAAATACGTCCCGGTGAGTTTGAACAGCATGAGGTGACCATTGGCTTTAAGTTAGCCAATCATAGAGCAGCGAAAAAGCTTTGGAAGTCATGTGTCGAACATCATACCTTCTTCCGTTTGATGACACCTGAACCACCAAACAAATCTACACTATTTCCACGTTTTGGTTCGAAATACCGTTACTCGGGACGTACCATGTATGAGAGTCGCAAGAATCCGGTAGATCGTGAGGCTCCTAAATTCGATAGAAGTTTGTCAGGCAGACGTTTGACTTCTAGGTCTATGGATGGTGAGTAATTAAAGTGGGATTTGTGCGGGATTTTATAATTTTTATGTTATTTCTTTTAAAGCCTTGGCCTTAGCCGAAAAGGAAAAGGATTCACAGAAACGTCATACCATGGGTCATCCTCCTGAGCATATACCCGATTTGGATTCACCACGCAGTCGCAGTCCTTTGAAAAAGGATAAGAAGGATAAGGTAAGTTAAGCTTAACTTTGTTTTTCTTCTTTTTCCACCCCTCCTACCCTCTTCAAAAGAAAAGTTATGAAATCACTAGATTTTAAGGAAATTTTAAAACATTTTTTTACTTTTCTGTTTTCATATTTGAAACAAAAAACCAAACTTATTAACTTATTACTTAATAACCTTTGATTTCTATTCCCTATTTTGTTTTTTTCTTAATTTACTTACGAAAAATATTCAAAATCCTTTTGAAAACGGTTTGATTGTTTTGTTACTATTTTCCAAACTTCACTAAACTGTTAAACACACACTAATCCTGCATTTATTTTTCTTATTGCAACTCCTTACACAACCTATAACACACTCTACACTTAACACTTACACCTGTGTTCAAATAATTATAACACGCTTTAAAACGCGTTTTTGTTTTCTTTTGTTTTTTATACTTTTCTTCCTTTTTTCCCTACAAAATCTTAACAATACACCCACCTATATAACACTCTCCATAAACTCTACTTACTCCTTTTAAACTAAACACGTTTTACCCAATACGTTACTCTGTTGCTGTGGTATTTTTTATTGCTTTCTCTCTGTGTGTATGTGTGTCTCCAAATTCCATGACGACAATTATGGTTGTTATTCTTAGTTGATACGTGAATCTAGCACTGGTACTGCTTCGGCTTCTTCGCAGAGTTCCCTCGAAGGTGATTACGAGACTAATACCGGTGCTGCGGCCGATGCTGCATCTGCAGCAGCCGCCTTTATGGGCCCTGATGATCAGGTTAACACATCTTCTATCATTTCTGCTATTATTACATTCTACATATTTGTTTTTTTCTACTATTTTTTCACTCTCAAAATAACTTTTTGGTTTCTTCCACTTTCTTTAGTTTTGTATTTAAGTTTTTTTCTTTTTTGGAGTAAATTCTTTAGTTGGACTCGTTTCTTTACTTTTAGTTGTTTATTTTAGTTTTGAGGCTTTTTTTCAGTTGCTGTAGATACTTTTTTTTTTCGATATTTTGAAAATTTTTGGGTTTTGAATTTTTTTTCGAATTCTTTGTTGTGTTCAAAATTGTTAACTCTGTAGCCCTGTTCAAAAAGGTTTAATACTTCAACAAGTGAATATTAAATTCCCAGGAAAACTTTGAGAATTAGTTGTAAAATAACTAGTTCTAGAACGCATGTAAACGGAACCACTTCAGCTGGAGTAGCTACATATATGGGATCTACTGACGTCAAATAACTTACTGTTGGATCTTCTTCTGTGAAAAAAAATTGTACTTCTAAGAACCTATTGAGATACCCGTTTGTCGTATCATCAGTACAAGTTAAACATTCGTACTGGGGGATAGTCGGTTAGTTAGTTAGTAGTTAGTTAGTTAGTTAGTTAGTTAGTTAGTTAGTTAGTTAGTTAGTTAGTTAGTTAGTTAGTTAGTTAGTAGTTAGTTAGTTAGTTAGTTAGTAGTTAGTTAGTTAGTTAGTTAGTTAGTAGTTAGTAGTTAGTTAGTTAGTAGTTAGTAGTTAGTGGTTAGTTAGTAGTTAGTTAGTAGTTAGTTAGTTAGTTAGTTAGTTAGTTAGTAGGTAGTAGTTAGTTAGTTAGTTAGTTAGTTAGTTAGTTAGTAGTTAGTAGTTAGTTAGTTAGTTAGTTAGTAGTTAGTTAGTTAGTTAGTTAGTTAGTTAGTTAGTTAGTTAGTTAGTTAGTTAGTTAGTTAGTTAGTTAGTTAGTTAGTTAGTTAGTTAGTTAGTTAGTTAGTTAGTTAGTTAGTTAGTTAGTTAGTTAGTTAGTTAGTTAGTTAGTTAGTTAGTAGTTAGTTAGTTAGTTAGTTAGTTAGTTAGTTAGTTAGTTAGTTAGTTAGTTAGTTAGTTAGTTAGTTAGTTAGTTAGTTAGTTAGTTAGTTAGTTAGTTAGTTAGTTAGTTAGTTAGTTAGTTAGTTAGTTAGTTAGTTAGTTAGTTAGTTAGTTAGTTAGTTAGTTAGTTAGTTAGTTAGTTAGTTAGTTAGTTAGTTAGTTAGTTAGTTAGTTAGTTAGTTAGTTAGTTAGTTAGTTAGTTAGTTAGTTAGTTAGTTAGTTAGTTAGTTAGTTAGTTAGTTAGTTAGTTAGTTAGTTAGTTAGTTAGTTAGTTAGTTAGTTAGTTAGTAGTTAGTTAGTTAGTTAGTTAGTTAGTTAGTTAGTTAGTTAGTTAGTTAGTTAGTTAGTTAGTTAGTTAGTTAGTTAGTTAGTTAGTTAGTTAGTTAGTTAGTTAGTTAGTTAGTTAGTTAGTTAGTTAGTTAGTTAGTTAGTTAGTTAGTTAGTTAGTTAGTTAGTTAGTAGTTAGTTAGTTAGTTAGTTAGTTAGTTAGTTAGTTAGTTAGTTAGTTAGTTAGTTAGTTAGTAGTTATTTAGTTAGTTAGTTAGTTAGTTAGTTAGTTAGTTAGTTAGTTAGTTAGTTAGTTAGTTAGTTAGTTAGTTAGTTAGTTAGTTAGTTAGTTAGTAGTTAGTTAGTTAGTTAGTTAGTTAGTTAGTTAGTTAGTTAGTTAGTTAGTTAGTTAGTTAGTTAGTTAGTTAGTTAGTTAGTTAGTTAGTTAGTAGTTAGTTAGTTAGTTAGTTAGTTAGTTAGTTAGTTAGTTAGTTAGTTAGTTAGTTAGTTAGTTAGTTAGTTAGTTAGTTAGTTAGTTAGTTAGTAGTTAGTTAGTTAGTTAGTTAGTTAGTTAGTTAGTTAGTTAGTTAGTTAGTTAGTTAGTTAGTTAGTTAGTTAGTTAGTTAGTTAGTTAGTTAGTTAGTTAGTTAGTTAGTTAGTTAGTTAGTTAGTTAGTTAGTTAGTTAGTTAGTTAGTTAGTTAGTTAGTTAGTTAGTTTGTTTGTTAGTTAGGTTCTTCGTTTGGGAAGTAAATCTGGGCCGCTATCAGGCTTACCAGAATCTGGGGACCCGAACCATGTCCTCCGGACTGATAGACTAGAACTACGTCGATTAGCTAACAGAGAACTGCAGAGTCAATGCATGATTGTGCACAAATCGACTACGTGGAGCCCACCCTCTAGATTACATGCGTTCTAGAACCAGTTTCGGAACTAATATATAGAATATACCTTGTTTTGGGTTTATTATTTGTTTCCAAATTTCGATTTTTAAATTATTTCTATTAATTTGTATTTTTATGTGTTTCTATAATAAAATATCAAATTCATATCATATAATCTAACATTTAAATGTTTGCCTATCAAGATATTTTAATAAGTCTTATATATATCGAGAATATTGGATGTTTTTTACCTTTACAGATTTCGAAAAGTGCGATTTGGAATAAAAAATTTAGAACAAATAATTCAAGTTGGACAATATTAATCAATAACATAAACTTATTTGGCTCAAATCAATATTATCAAATCCAATTTCCCCAGAGGGGAATTCGCCACTGAAATGGACCTGTTACAATAACATAATCCAAGTGTGTCAAACTAATTCCAATCGCCCTCTTCGAAATTCGAAAAATGTAAAGACATTTCAATATTTTAAAATGCTTTGTCCTTTCTTTTGATATATTTTTATAAAAAAAAGTCAATACTTAACTAATTTTAACTCTTCATTATGTAAATATATTAATGTTTAACTCTATATGTACATATAACTCCCTTTTCAAACTACTAAATGGTTTCTCTATATCTGTTAAAATATCTTTAAAAAGCTCTAAATGTTTTTAACTAACTTATGCTTTATATAGTATTTTAATAAACGTTTATTAAGAAAAACCAAGCTCCATAACAAATTTATATAAAAAATATATAATTTTATCTTATAAATAGGATTTGTGTGAGTCCTTGTTACCATAATTGGCATTTATACTACATGTTCTCTCTTAATGTTTTGTTTCAAAATTGTCTTAAAACATAAAACACACACTTGCCACCTTTTTTTACTTTAATTTCAATACTGAACATATTTACATATACTATTTACATATACACACACAAATCCAAGTTGCATTTAAATTTTAACAAAAATTATTCATATTTTTTTGTAAGAAATATTTTTAAAACAAATTATTTTAAAGAGTTTAAAAGCAAAATTGAGTGCAAGTTAAAAAGTTCCTCCCCCAAATCTGGTGAAATAGAACTAAAAGAGTAAGATAGAGTGCTGATAATCTAGGTTTTATTTAGACCGATATTTTGTAATTTTAAAGTCAGGAGAGAGAAAGAGAGAGAGAGAGAGAGAGAGAGAGAAAGAAAGAACTGAAAATGTTTCCCAATTAGAATCTTATTCGACGATCTTGTTAAATAGTGTTGGAAGAGAGCGAGAGAAGTGGAAGCTAACAAGATCATGATTAAACCATTTACAAGATTTAGGGAGTTATCAAATTTAATCTGAACAGTTCCCACTTAATAAATCAGAGTTTGAAGGTTATGTTTGAACCACTTACAAGTTGCAGATATCAGGCACTTATCAGATTGACTGTAAACGGATCAATCATTCTAAGTCTTTAAAGTTTCGATGATCTGAAAAGATTTACAGATATTTTATATTAAGCCAATATATAGATCTTCATTTTAAATCAGTTTTAAACAAAATACTGTGAGTCTTAATATGTAGGAGTTCTTATTGAGTTTTTCTTGGATTCTGTCTTTTATGTTATCGTGAAGTATGGAGCAAGTTTAGGTGTAAGAAGAAATCTAATAAAATCAGGAAGTTGTACATCAAGTAGTGCCTTAACATGGATCTGAACAAGTCAATAAACAAAGAAGGTATAGAAGTCTCAGGCTCCTAGATCACCGCATATATAAGGATTAGTTAAAGACTGGTCAGATCATGAAGTGATTGATCAAGTAGATGGATCTAAACAAGTGTTGAAAAAGGGAAATTTAAAGTAAGACAAACAAAGATCTAGATGTCAAGGTTCTTCGAAACGTGTAATAGACAGGGTCCTAATTAATAAAATTTATTATCTCGTTGATGAAAAGAATATGTTCTTCATAGTCTTTGGATCTTTTATAGATGCGCTTCTTTATGATAAGAGGCCGTTTTCGGACTGATTAAATAGGACACTAATAGTTGATCAAGTAAGTCTTTTAGGCGGTTCTAAACTAGTCAAGGGGAACAAAAAGAATCCGTTTGTCATTGTATTTGGATCTTTTTTAGATGCCCTTCTTTATAATAAGAGGCCGTTATGCGGACTGATCGGCCAATAGTTGATCAAGTAAGGCTTTTGGACGAGTCTAAACTTGTCAAGAGGGACATTTAAGATATCTTAGAGTTTGAAGTATCCGAAGTAAAGGTCTGTATTATGGTAAAATAAGAGACTATTTACCGACTTAGTTAAAAGCTGTTCAAATTCGGAAGTGGTGGATCAAGTAGGGATTTTCGATATGTAAATCTATAAAAGTTAGGAAAACTTTTTTGATTGATCTTCTGAACGGGAATTTACAATATCTTTATCAGCGTTAGAAATCAACTGACAAATAGATCTAGAATTCTAGGACCATACCTTTCGGAATAGACCTCTGCGAAGGCCTATTTTCGGACTTAATTGACAACATATCAAATTGGCAAGTAGGTGATAAAGTAGCTTTCAAATGGATCTAAAGATAAGGAAAAATATATAGAAAGCTTTTTGAGGAGAACATGTAGAGGTCTCCCCTATTTTGGATATTATGTTAGAAAGTGTTGAAGGAGAAGTTCAGAACTTTAAAAACTTTCTTTATCTGTTTAAGAAAATACTATTGGGGAGAACATTTTGAGATTTCGGCCATTTTGGATTTTGCTTTAGAAAGTTTTTAAGGAGAAGCTGTAGAAGCTCACAACTTGAAAAACTTTCTTTAAATAATGTATAGGTGGACGTGAAAGCCCCGATTATGCACTAACTGACAAAATCTATTTAATTCCATAAAGAACTCTCTATCGCTCTAAATAACGCTTTTAAACTCTACTCAGTTATCTGTTTTGCTTTCTCAAACAAAAAAAAAAGCTTTTTAGTTTTTGTGTTTTTTCTGTTTGTTTAATTTTCTCTCATATTTTGTATGAAAGCATGCTTAAAAGCTTTAATGTCTTAATGTTATCAAAACGATATAACTTTCAACATAAATTATATATAATTTTTTCTTAAACTTTCTCTTTTTTAAACTTAAAATAAAATAAAGGCTGAAAAGGATAAGAAACAAAAGGAAAAGGAGGAGAAGGAACGCAAAGAAAAGGAAAAGAAAGAAAAGGAGAAGAAAGAAAAAGAAGCCAAGGAAAAGGCTGCTAAAGACAAGGCTGCCGGTGGCATGAATGGTAAATTTTTATAAAGACTTAAAGCTTACGAAAAATACTGATCTTTTATATATCATTTTGCAGGTAACGATGATTTGAATGATTCACAAAAATCGGATAAATCTGGCAGACGTGTAAGTATTAAATAAACAGTTAAATTACATTAAGTTCATTATATATAAGTCGGATTAATAAGAATTTCGGTTAAAAAATATTGTTATTAAAATGTTTCGTCTTTAGTTTTTATGTAATTATTTAAATAATTTTATTAATTATTTTTAATTTGAAATATTTTTTAATTTTTATTTAATTTTATTTTTATTTTTTCCCATTTCTTTTCTTTTTTTATTTCCGTTTCTTATGATTTCATTATAATTTGTAACTTAATCACCGTTATTACTTGATCGCAACCCTATAACGTCGAATAGGGAGTTGGTTTATTCTCTTCGGGTCGCAAGAGCAAGAGTGGTTCACCATCTAAGGATGCTAAGGATAAGAAAAAATCCGATAGACCTAATGAACTCGAGTTGGTGGCTGCTGGTACTGGTGATCACAATAATGCCAGTGCTCCCGGTCACACTAAACCCTACGAGTACACAGATGCTGATGGTGACACTAGTCCCACGCGCAAATCTTACATTCCAGGCGGTTTCCGTTATGATCAAGATCCTGATGGCAGCAAACGTGGCCAGGATGGTCAAGAACAATTGTCGCCTGGTTCGCAACAAAAGAAAATTGGTTTGGCTTTCAATTATGCTCCCGGCAATGAAGAGGATTTGAAGAAACAAGCCGAAAAACTTAAATCGGGTCAATTGTCACCACGTACCCGTGATAAACTTAACAAGGGTCAATTGTCGCCCCGAACAAAGGCGAAATTATTAAAGGAAGCCAATCTTTCGCCCGCTACCAAAGCCAAGTTGCAAGGCAGTGCTGTAGATGCTGCTGCCATTCCTTTAAGTGATGCCCAAAAGAGATCCTATTCTCCCTCTAAGAGTCCCACACAAGGTTATGCTTCTGGTGCTCCTGGCAGCTATAAACCTTTGGTGGATCCCACCTCAGCATTTTTGGATTCCGAAAGATATAACAAGGAGCCCGCCTATACTGGTTTGGTGAAACCTAAAAATCAAGTTAAAGTAATGGTCATTACCGGTAAAATTGATCCCAAAACCAAGAAAATCGATGCTGAAAATGGTTTTGTTGAACACTCGGCTGGCACTTTGGATGCTGCTACTGGTTTAATTGATACCAAATATGGTTTAATTGATCCCAAAAAGGGTACTTTGACTGTGACAAACTCCAGCTCGGGCAAAAAGGAAACCCACAAAGGTGACATAGATCCTCAAACTGGCAATATACATTTGTTGCATGGCGTAGTGGATCCCAGAACTGGTATGGCCGACAATACATTGGGACAAATTATTGCCTTTGCTCCTCAAGTGGTTAAGATTACCGCCATCACCTCTAAATATGATCCTCAAACACGTAAAATTGATGTTGAAAATGGTTTTGTTGATCATTCAACCGGCACCTTGGATCCTGCTACTGGTTTAATTGATTCCAAATATGGTTTAATTGATCCCAAGAAGGGTACTTTGGTGGCAGTTAATCCTAAGTCGGGCAAAAAGGAAACCCATCAAGGTGAGGTTGATTCCCAAACTGGCAATATCCATTTGTTAAGTGGTGTTGTTGATCCTAAAACCGGTCAGGTCGATAACTCTTTGGGTCAGATTCTAGCCATTACTCCTTTGGAAGATTCACCCAAAAAGGTTAATGTTAAGCTTACCGTTACCACAGCCAAGTTTGATCCTAAATCGAAGAAAATTGATGCTGCCCATGGCAAGGTGGATCATTCTACTGGCAGCTTAGATCCTGCTACTGGTTTAATTGACTCCAAATATGGTTTGATTGATCCTAAAAAGGCTACTTTGGTGGCTTTGAATCCCAAGAATGGTAAAAAGGAAACCTATCAAGGTGAAATTGATCCTTTGACAGGTGACATACATTTGATTAATGGTGTGGCTGATCCTAAAACTGGTCGTTTGGACAATTCTTTGGGACAAATTATTGCCGTTTCGCCCAGTGGTGAACCGGTTAAGGTTACTGTCATTACTTCCCGCATTGATCCCAGAACTAATACCATCGATGCTGATCATGGTTCTGTAGATCAATCTACTGGTACCTACGATCCCTCTACCGGTGTTGTTGACTCCAAATATGGTTTGCTTGATTTTAAGAATGGCACTGTTTCAACTCTCAATCCCTTGACCGGCAAACAGGAAACATATCAAGGAGAATATGATCCCAGAACTGGTCATATTAATCTATTGAATGGTGTCACCGATCCCAAGACTGGTCGTGTAGATAACTCTTTGGGTCAAATATTTGCCTTTGCTCCTTTGAATGATCCCAAAAAGAAACGTGTTAAGATTTCGGTCATTACCTCGAAATTCGATCCCACAACTAAGAGAATTGATGCCGAAAATGGTTCTATGGATCTTACTACTGGAGTTTATGATCCTGCTACCGGTTTAGTAGAATCTAAATATGGCATGATTGATCCCATTAAGGGCACTTTGGTGGCTGTTAATCCCAAAACTGGTAAAATGGAATTGTATCAAGGTGATATTGATCCTGTAAATGGCAATATACATTTGGTGAATGGTGTCACCGATCCCAGAACTGGACGTTTCGACAATAGTTTGGGTCAAATAATCGCTGTAACACCTTTGGATGATTCAGATGTTCCCTTAGCTGGTCCCAGAAAGAAGAATGTTAAAATTACTATTGTAACCTCTAAAATTGATCCCAAAACTAAGCGTGTGGATGTTGAAAATGGTTCTGTAGATCAAACCACCGGCACTTTAGATCCTATTACTGGACTTGTTGATACTAAATTCGGTGTTATTGATCCTAAAAAGGGTACTCTGTTGGCTGTTAATCCCAAGACTGGCAAAAAGGAAACCGTTCAAGGCAATGTTGATCCTAAAACTGGTTATCTACATTTATTGCATGGTGTTACCGATCCTAGAACTGGTCGTTTGGACAATTCACTGGGACAAGTTATTGCTGTGTCACCACAAGAGGAAGCTGTCAAGCTTACCGTTGTTACTGCCCGTGTTGACCCCAAGACCAAGAGAATTGAAGCCGACAAAGGTACTGTGGACAACTCCACGGGTATTTTTGATCCTGCTACCGGCTTAGTGGATACTAAATATGGTTTAATTGATCCCAAAAATGGTACTTTATTGGCTTTGAATCCTCAGACAGGCAAGAAAGAGGTTCACCATGGTGTGGTAGATCCCGCCACTGGCAACATTAACTTCTTGAATGGTGCCACTGATCCTAAGACTGGCCGTTTTGACAAATCCCTGGGACAAGTTATGGCTATTAGCACTCAGGATGATCCCAAGAAAAAACGTGTTAAGATTACCATCATCACTTCCAAAATGGATCCCAAATCTAAGAAAATTGATGCTGATAATGGCAGCTTGGATATCACTACTGGTATATTGGATCCCGCTACCGGTCTGGTAGATACTAAATATGGTTTAATAGATCCTAAAAAGGGTACATTGGTGGCTTTCAATCCCAGCACTGGTAAACATGAAAGTGTTAATGGCAATGTTGATCCCAAGACGGGACACATACATTTGGTAAGCGTAGTCGATCCCAAGACTGGTCGTACTGATGGTTCTTTGGGACAAATCATTACTGTTACTCCTCAAGATGATGATATTTTAGAATTAGCTGCAGGCAAGGCAGTTTCATCCACTGATTCTACACCCACTAAAGAAGGTCGTTCTTCGACCGCCTCTCCTCAATCGGTGGGCAAATCTTCTATTCCTCCACCCACACCCACTAGAACTGCAGCTTCCGGAGTTGGTGCTGCCGCCCCAGCTGCTGGTAAGCCCAAAAAGAAACGTGTTAAGATCATGGTAATCACCTCTAGATTTGATCCCGCCACCAAGAGAATTGATACCGAAAATGGTCAAGTTGAACATTCCACTGGCATTTTAGATCCTGCTACTGGTCTTATTGACACTAAATATGGTTTGATTGATCCTAAGAAGGGTACTCTAGTGGCCTTGAATACCAAGACTGGCAACAATGAAACCTATCACGGTGAAGTTGATCCCAAGACGGGACATATACAACTGGTTACTGGTGTTACTGATCCCGCTACAGGTCGTGTAGATGAATCTTTGGGTCTGGTTATGGCCATTACTCCTCAGGAAGATCCTGTGGTAGAATTGACTGTGATCAGCAGCCGCATCGATCCTGCCACTGGCAAAATCGACACAGTTAATGGCGATGTTGAAAGATCATTGGGTGTTTTGAATATGGACTCTGGCTTGTTGGATACCAAATATGGTGAAATCAATACCAGAACTGGTGAACTGAAATCTATTGATCCCAAGAGTGGTAAAATTGTTGTAACCAAGAATGTCAAGGTTGATCCAGCTACTGGACAACTTACTATTATGGGTGTTATTGATCCTAAGACAGGCAAAGTAGATCCCAATCAAGGACGTCTTATTGAAGTGGGCCAACAGATTGATCCCATTGTAGAGGTTACCTCATTGGCGGGTAAATATGACTCTAAGAAGAACATCATTGATCCTAAGACTGCTCAAGTGGAGACTTCTGGTGGTCAATTTGATCCCAGAGCTGGCAAGATTGATACCAAGTATGGACAGATTGATTTAGTTAAACACACCATTACCTTTACCGATCCCAAGTCAGGCAAATCTGTTACACGTGACATCAAAATCGATCCTGCCACTGGACAAATTGTACTCAAGAACCAAATTAATCCCAAAAACAATAAACCAGACAAAGACTATGCCCGCATTATATCTCTGCGCATTGTACAGCAACGTGTGGATCCCAAGACCAAGGCACCTATTAGTCAAGTCAGCTCGGCTAAGGATAAGGAAATTGTTATCGATCCCAAATCCAATCAAATTTGGATGCCTACCGGTGCTGTTGATCCCGCCACCAAGGAACAACAATACATATCCAGTGCTGTTGATCCTAAGACTGGCTATGTCATCACCATCTATGGTTATCTTAATCCCAAGACCAACGAAATCAAAAAACAAACCAAACTTGATCCCAACACCACTAAGATTGAACCTTCTTCTGGTAAGATTTACACAGCTACTGGCGATTTAGATGCCGCCACTGGTGAACCACTCTATGCTACCACACAAGTTGATAATGAATCTGGTGAAGTTTACACAAAATTGGCACGCGTTGATCCTAAGACAGGCAAACTGATTATTGTCAGAATCTTGCTTATCTCTAAGGTCGACGAAAGAGGCCGTCCCGAAGAAGTCGATCCACAAACATGCGAAATCGATCCTGTCTCGGGCCGTGTCTTGAAATTCTTTAATAAAACCGTTTATGTATACAATATGATTGATCCCATTACCGGTGAAATTGTACAGGTGGACCCCAACGATCCGCGGTTTGCTGGTGCCCGCACTACCGTTACCCATACCATGACGTTGACGGGAGAAATTGATCCCGTTACCGGACGCATTAAGAGCGAATATGGTGATATTGATCCCAATACTGGTGACATTGATCCGGCCACCGCTATTAAGGATCCCGTTACTGGTAAATTGATTTTGAATTATGCCCAAATCGATCCATCACACTTTGGCAAACAGGCCCAAGTTAGCACTACTACCGAAACTGTACCTATAACTAGACAACAATTCTTTGATGGTGTTAAACACATGGGCAAGAATGCCTTAAGACGTGATTCAGAGGCTAGTTCCGAAGATGATATGACTCACGAATACGAAACGGAAAATGTTAAGGAAATGGTTATAGGCAGTCCGAAGAAGAGTACCACACAAAATATGAGCACATTTGTGGGCACACCCACGGTGGTGAAAACAACAACCAAACAAGTATTGACCAAGAATGATGATGGTGTAACACATAATGTCGAGGAAGAAGTACGCAATTTGGGTACCGGTGAGGTGACCTATTCTACACAGGAACACAAGGTTTGCTTAAAAAATATTTGATTTATATAATAGTTTTTGTAAAAGCTTTAATAGAATTTAGCTGCTGTAGTGAGTTTAAGCTTTTGTTAAGCGTTAGTTTTGCAAAGTTTTTGTTTTTTGTAACTTTTTTTAGCAACCCCTGTTTTAAGTTTGTTTCTAAATTTTATTTTAAAGTTTTTTACTAAGTTTAGAGTTTAAATATTTTATAAAATTAATAAGTCAATGTAAGTATAAGACTAGTTTTTTTTTGTATTTGAAAGCATGTTTGAATTTAAAACTTTTGAAACACCCCATTTTTAAAGATTATATAGAGATACATTAGTTACTTTGTATAAACATTTTTCATAACTCTCGCCCCATGATCTTAAGAATCCTTGATTATTTTCCATAATTTAGTCTGTATTTGAACCCAAATCGACAGTATTTCCCCAGTTGGTATTAAATATGTCATTCCCCACTGGAACTGCCACTTCAGGAGTTGGAACCTCAACAGCTACTGATAAACCCCCGAAGAAACTAGTTAAGATTATGTTACTCACCTCTAAATTTGATGTACTCATCAAAAGTTGATACGGAAAATGATCAAGTTGAGCTGGTATTTTAAACCCTACTACATTTCCGCAACACTTGTTGCATGAATGTTGGGATTTTAACCCAAACTTATGCCAAATAGGTAGGATATTCAAAACCATTACAGCATTAGGTAACTACAGACCCATTGAATGGTTAATCCAATTTATCCAGGAACAAATATAGAATGCTTCTTATTATGCTGAGAAGTTTGCCTCGACAACCAAGATTTCTTTGTGGTCTTCAGTAAAATTTGAGTTTTCCATATTCTCGTTTCTACAATGAGGAATGTCGTTTAGTTTCAGCGTAGAAATCTCACTGTCCGAAATCGCGATAAGAGTTTTTTTTACAGAAGTTTAGTTTTCAACAGTCGATTCTGTTGGTGGGAATTGCTTCAGTCTTTCCTGATTTATGAATTCCATGAGTGGAAAGATCCGTAGTATCTATGTTTGTGGAACCTTAACACAAACTTATGCCGACTTGAGAGATTACAGCGGAGGTAGGAACAACAGATCCAACTTCCGAATTGTCGATCCAACTTATCGCAGGAACAACTTCATGTGATTCCCTCAAGAAGGAACAAGAACATAGTATCAGTGTAGAAATCTCACAGTCCAGATTCTTGATAAGAGTTTTTTTTACTTAAGACGTTTAGTTTTCAAATAGTTGATTCTGTTGATAGTAATTGCTTCAATTTTTCCGACTTGAGAGATTCAAAACGATGAGGTTCGGAACTGGGGCATACAGATTCGGCGTCTACATAATAGATCCATCATATCCAACTATCTCTGAAACATCTTTATGTCATTGATCTCCCAGGGATAAGTTATGGTACCAGCATGATTTTCCTCAGTCGACCTTAAGCATTTTGTTGCAATTTTGAGATCAATTTTCTATGTGATTGGAACACGATCGGAACTAAATCTTCTTTCATCACTAACTAGCCATTCAAGATCTAAATGTTAATGTCAAATATCTTAATATATATGTGAGTATCCCCCAGATAGAGGGATAGGTTATCCCTGCCTAACTCCTAACGAGATACAGAGGTGCTAAAATCTAGATCTTGGGTCGTTTTAGACTTACGTTTAACTAGTGACCTGTAGAACTTTGCGGGTTCTAGTTATTGGTGGGTATCTGGAATCAAGTGGTGGCTGTAGTTGGAGACCAAATGTCGTGAAGAGATTGTAGATTAAAGGCTCCATGTATGGTCTAAATAGATGATTCAAGCCTTTTAATGTCGCAAGATTGAATCCATACCAAGTGGTCATTTTGACTCTAGGGAATATTGTGATTATTAGCAAGATGTTGAAGTAGCATTAGTGTTCAGTATTTGCGTCTTTGGTTGTTGGTTAGTGGGACCTCTGTGGCACAATGATTACATACATTAAGATCCTGAACAAGGAGCTTGTATTAGGTCCTCATTCTTTGAATACTTAGAGACTTTGTTGGGATTTTAAGGCAGTTAGGTTGTTTGAAGGTAGTTGAGGTCAATTTCCGATCTCAAAATAAATTCCCAGATCCAAGAGTTATACTCCTGGAATACCTTTTTTTAAATAGAACGCTTATTAAACTAGAATTGTAACTCCTTAGCCAGCTAAATTTTAGTGTAAATATTAATATTATTAAACTTTTTTGTTAATATACATATAATTAAACTTTTTTTGTTTTTTTTCCATAATTAACAATATATTTATTTTTGTTTTTATTAAATAATGCTTGTTCCTCACCTCCAAACCTTCCAAAAACCCCCCAAAATTATATCAATGAACAATAAAATCCTTTCCAAACTAACGAACATTCCTAATTGATGTGTAAAATACAAACCAATCCTTTAAAAACAACCGATCCTCTCAAAAATAAAGGCTGATGCTCCAGCCGTCGATTTGACCAGTGGTGCTTATGTTACTGCCACCGCAGTAACAACACGTACAGCTACCACACACGAAGATTTGGGTAAAAAAGCCAAAACCGAACAATTGGAAGAGAAAACCGTGGCCACAACACGAACCCATGATCCCAATAAACAAGAGCAACGTGTTGTGACCCAAGAAGTTAAGACCACAGCAACGGTAACCAGTGGAGATCAGGTAAGTTTGAGGAGGACTCATGAATAAAAGAAATAACCTGCTGCCACCCACACAGGCATGTTGTGAGAACGCATGATATTTAACAAATTTATTTTCTTTTTGTTTCTCTTTTTTGTTTTTATGTTTTTGCCCGTTATTATGTTTTTGTTGTCTTATATTGAACATTATTGTTTTTGTTGTAATTGTTTGAATTGATTAAATGAATGGGAATGCAAAATTTGCGTAAAAAAAAACTAGTTCCAAAGACGTGACAGTATTTCCTCCACAAGTTCTGGAGATTCTGGTACACCCATCGATGGTCCTTATGATGGATCCACTGCTATATATAATACCACCTCATATAAGGTTTGTTTTTAATAATAACTAACTAACAAATTAATTAATTAATTACAACAACATAGTTTTTAACTCTTTAAAATTTATTAGTAGTTTTAACTATTTGGTAGAACAATTAACTAAAATTAGTATTCTAACCTTAAATTTTAGCTTAAAGTTTTAAAATATGAAAACATAACTAATCTATAAAATATTTTATTTAGGAATCTCCTTTGTATCAAACATCTGCCTCTACATCAGCTACCACCACCGGCCCTCGTATTGAACAAACCCGCGTTATTTTAGGTGAAAATTCGCCCGGCTATACGGCCGAAGGTGAAATTGTTTCCAGCCAAACCGTTAGCAGCAAAACACGTACAGTCGAAACCATTACCGTAAGTATTTTGTTAAATTAAGGGATTCCTCTCAGAACATTACTTAAAGATTGTTTTACTTTGGTTAAAAAAGTTTTATGTAAGTTTTTCAAATTTGTTTTGACGATTATACTCGAAAATCGTTTGTATATACAAATATATCGTGTATATATTGTGACGTTTTCAATTCTGTGTCCTTAAATGTTGTTGTCCTTTAAGTATATTGTTGTAGTTTATTTGAATGTCGTGTCCTGTCTTTAAATAGACTCAATTGTTTTTACTAAAACCTATGTTTTAAAGTAAAATTTTGTAAAAAGAATGGAACTGCTCCGTAAAAGCAGAAATTGTACAAATTACCTTGATATAGAATAAGATTATACTAACTACATATGGAGTAAATAGTCTATTGCGGTTCTACTACTGTCAACTTTAAAATAAAGCCTTTGTTATATATCCTTTCCTCTTCAAAATATCTTAACTTAAAGTTAAATTATATGATAGTTATACTTTGCTATAGATATATTGTTCTGTATAGAGATCAAGACTTGAAAATTGTAATTGTAAACTCTTGTTATTCATTTACGAAGCATCCGAATGGGTGATGTTAAAATTGGTGTGACTCTTCGAGCTAGTGACAGGAGGAACTGTTTCGATAGTATAAATATATGTTTCTTGACAAGGGGAATCATCTAAGTCCATTGACTGATCTATTGACTAGTCTATGTACCAGTTGACAAGTCTCTGGACTAAACTTATGGATTAATCTATTAACAAATCTATGTACGAATCTATTGTATAGTCTATGGACTAATCTACTAGTTAGTTTATAGACTAATCTATAGACAAGTCTCTGGAATAGTCTATTGAAAAGTCTATAGACTAAGCTATTGACTAGTCTATTGGCAAGTCTTTTGGATAGTTTATTGATAAGTATATTGATTAGGCTATGGACTAATGTGTTTACTAGCCTGTCGACTTAACTATTTACTAGTCTATCGACTAATCTAGTTACTAGTCTATGATTAGTCTATGAACTAGACTATTGACTATTCTATTGATTATTCTAATGACTAGGCTATTGATTAGTCTGTGAATTAGTGTATGTATTAGTATAATCTAAATAGACTTGAAAAACTAGTCTATTTATTGGTCTAAGGACTTGTCTATTGATAAGTCTATCTATGTATATAAAAGTGTTTGGAATAATCTATTGACTAGTCTATAGACTAAGCTATTGACTAGTCCCTGAACTACTGAGTCTATACACTAGGGCTATCGGACTACTCTGTAGTCCTAGGTTTATTGTCCCTAGTCTATAGCAGTCTTACTAGACTATAGACTAGACTATAGACTGACTATAGACTAGACTATGACTAGACATAGACTAACTAGACTAGACTATATATAGGACATAGACTAGACTATAGATAGAATAGACTAGGAAGAGACTAGACTATAGACTAGCTATATGATAGACTATAGGACTAGGATATAGACTAGACTATAGATAGATATAGACTAGACTATAGACTAGATATAGACTAGACTATAGACTAGACAAGACTAGCTATAGGGACTAACTAGACTATGACTAGACTATAGACTAGACTATGACTAGACTATAGACTAGACTATAGACTAGACTAGACTATACTAGAATAGGGACTGACTATAGACTAGACTTAAGCTAGACTAGACTATAGACTAGACTATAGACTAGACTATAGACTAGACTATAGACTAGACTATAGACTAGACTATAGACTAGACTATAGACTAGACTATAGACTAGACTATAGACTAGACTATAGACTAGACTATAGACTAGACTATAGACTAGACTATAGACTAGACTATAGACTAGACTATAGACTAGACTATAGACTAGACTATAGACTAGACTATAGACTAGACTATAGACTAGACTATAGACTAGACTATAGACTAGACTATAGACTAGACTATAGACTAGACTATAGACTAGACTATAGACTAGACTATAGACTAGACTATAGACTAGACTATAGACTAGACTATAGACTAGACTATAGACTAGACTATAGACTAGACTATAGACTAGACTATAGACTAGACTATAGACTAGACTATAGACTAGACTATAGACTAGACTAGACTAGACTATAGACTAGACTATAGACTAGACTATAGACTAGACTATAGACTAGACTATAGACTAGACTAGACTATAGACTAGACTATAGACTAGACTAGACTATAGACTAGACTATAGACTAGACTATAGACTAGACTATAGACTAGACTATAGACTAGACTATAGACTAGACTATAGACTAGACTATAGACTAGACTATAGACTAGACTATAGACTAGACTATAGACTAGACTATAGACTAGACTATAGACTAGACTATAGACTAGACTATAGACTAGACTATAGACTAGACTATAGACTAGACTATAGACTAGACTATAGACTAGACTATAGACTAGACTATAGACTAGACTATAGACTAGACTATAGACTAGACTATAGACTAGACTATAGACTAGACTATAGACTAGACTATAGACTAGACTATAGACTAGACTATAGACTAGACTATAGACTAGACTATAGACTAGACTATAGACTAGACTATAGACTAGACTATAGACTAGACTATAGACTAGACTATAGTAGTTTGATTAGTCTATGAACCATTCTATTTAGAAGTCTATTGACAGGGCTATTGACCAGTCTATGCATTAATCTATGGACTATTGATTAGTTTATAGATTAGTTTATGGACTAAATAATCTATTTAGTAGTCTATACACTAGGTTTTTGATTAGATCATGGACTAGTCTGTTGACGATTCTATGGACTAGCCTATAGACTAATCTATATAAAACTCTTTGAATTAATCTATTGACTAGTCTATAGACTAAGCTATTGACTAGGCTATGATCTATGGTTGTGAAGAGTCTATGGACTAAGCTATTGGCTAGTCTATTGACAAGTCTAGGGACTAGTCTATTAATTAGCCTATAGACTAATCTATTGACTACTCTGTTGACAAGTCTATGGACTAATCTATTTACTAGTATATCGTATAGTCTTTTGACTAGTCCATGGACTACTCTATAAACTAATTTATGAACTCATCTATGGACTACTTAGTAAATGGTCATAATGGTCATAAGACTTTATAAAAGATATATCGTGGGGGTACTGCATTTAAATATAGATGTAAGAACTCCGTTTTGATAGCACTGTGTTACTTTTGAAATGGGAAGTTTGTGTAGTTAGCGAATAACACATAGATTCGCGTATCTCCCTACAGATTCTCAGGGAGATACGCGAACAGATATAGTTGTGTTTTATTCTGGAACCTGTCATCGTGATGCCTTATATTGCGTGTTATTCGCTTTGATAAGAGTGCGTTATTTCTGAAACTAGAAAGTGGTAGAGTTTGCAAAGAACACTTGGTTCCACTTTATCTCTCTGCTGGTTCTCAGCCGAATATGCATTCTGTTAATTAGATTCGGATGTATAGTTGTGTTTTATTCGATACCCTGCCATACTTATTCGTTATTTCGAATGATATTTGATCAATAGGAATAAAGCAAGCAATAGTTTGGGGCTCGTATTCGTTTATATTCGGATATGCTTGGTATTAAATAGAATTCACCCTTGCTATAACGACATACATATATACCACATTTTATAGATCTTTCTTAAAATGGCAGTTTTTAGTTTAATTACAAGGTTTCCGGAACCAATTGATAGTACTCATTATTTTTTTGTTCGAAATTGTCGTCTTCAGAATTGGTTCTGTTGAAGCTTTATAGATCCGTTATTTAGTCTATAGAACTAAATGTTAATGGCATGTTTTCACTCGTATTTTTCTTAATTGATTGGATGGGTGCTAACTAACCGGTAGTTGGTAGTGTTCCAGTCTGTCAGTACGTAGGTTCGATTACCACTAGAGAATCTGGCAGAGGTGCACAAGAAATTCTCGATAAAGGCATAGGAGTATTTTTTCAGATTGGATGTAAGATACATCCTGCTTTTAAACTATGGAACTAACTCTGACTTATCTCTTGGGTTATTTGACATTTGACCTTTGCAGTTGCAGGCAAGTCAACCGATTACCTTATATACCAAAATAAAAATAGGATTCATTTTATATTGGAAAATAAAATTTTAGCTATAATTTCTACTTATTAAAGATGTGAGAAACGTTGTTCAACTTTTTGGTAAAATTAAGTTCCGGGAATTGATTTTTTCAAATTTTAAATAATCTATTACTTACAACGTTATAACTTATTTCAAACATTTCCAGTACAAAACCGAACGTGATGGCATTGTTGAAACCCGTGTGGAACAAAAGATTACCATACAATCTGATGGAGATCCAATTGATCATGATCGGGCTTTAGCTGAGGCAATACAGGTAACTTTCGCTTGCTACTTTCATAAGAAATCAAAATTTTACTAAAATATATTTTTTATTCAACCCATTTAGGAGGCAACAGCTATGAATCCAGACATGACAGTGGAAAAGATTGAAATACAACAACAAACCCAATAAATCGTCTAAATAAGGGATTTGATAAACATTAATTTTTTCATAGATTTTTTTTTGGTAAAACAAAATATAAAAAAAAAATTCTAAACGAGCACAGAATGCACAGTAAAATTATTTAAGTAAAAGATAAAAATATTTAAATTTAATTAAAACAAAATATATATATATAGAATAAAACACCCGAAACCACGCCCTCTATTTCCTACTCCACACACACCACACAATAATTATACACCTAAGTCCCACACACAATAAGAATACTTGAATATATATATATAAATGATGAAATATATTATATGACAATTTATGTTTTTATTTAATTAATTATACTACTTTTTTATTAATTTTTTTTTATAATTATAATTAAATTTAAGCTTATAAATGTTGAAAGTAAATAAAAAAAATCTACAATTTTAATGTTGTTTATAATACAATTAATATTAATAATTCTCTTTTTTTATATGTTTATATTTATAATTTTTATGTTAAAAATATTTAAAACAACAAATACAAAACCAACCGAATATATTTGCAAAACAAAATATTTATAAATATTTAATTAAATAAAAGAAATAATTAAAGAAAAATATACATTCACAATACTATTTACCTAAATAAATAAAAAAAATATTTAAAGTTAATGAAAAAAGAAAATAAATTTAAAAATTTTATGTATTTTGACAAATCAAGCTGAAATTATAAATGTAACTTCTGCATAACATTTTATTTTTTATTATTATTATTATTTTTTTAAATGTTTATATTCTCTATTTTATTTTTTTTTTGTATATTACGATTAAAAACAACAACAAAAACAAAATAAATATATATTTAAACAAAAAACAAACAAATTAAATAATACAAATTAATACAGTCAGGGATAGTTAAATAGTTACAAGTTAATCGGTGGTGAAACGATCTGTGGCAATCTTTAGCAATTAGTTAGGTTAGGTTAACCTAACCTAGTTTTCTATAATACTGTATAATTTGAAATATTATTTTATACTTATACTTTCTGAGAGCAGACAAATCAATTGATTACTTTATATAACACAAGTAAACTGCCCTGAAATCAATTGAAATTCGAAGTTTTTAAACTCCGATCAGTAAGTTCAAATTTCAATTCAAATACTTAAGAGACCGATTCAACATCAAGATAAAAACAAAGTATTACAATCCATAAATCCGTATCCATTCGCATCAACATTTGAACATCCTGAACGTAAAATTAGATAAATAATTACTGTAAAACTTGATTCACGATCGAAGATCTTTCTAGTAACGATTTTCTTAAGATTAGTTACTTTTAATATCGTAAATAGTTCATTTTAATATCGAATTTGGACACTTAGCTGTCCTAAGTAATAGTTCGAGTTATACGCTGTTAAGTATAACACAAGGGACCCCTATATAGGCTTCTTGAGTTGACCACCTCTATAACATAACCTAACAATAGATTTTCGAAATTTTAGAATAACGTTTTCTAAAAGATAACGAAAGCGTAATTGATCTTATAAGATTTTAACATGTAGAAAGTCGACTGAGAATGTTATCAAGTTTGTTGTAGTATATAAATATTTTAAGAAGTTATTTTCCAAAATTTCGAAGATTTAAAAGGTTTCAAATCTATCATAGAGCAATTAGTTGAAGATAAACATTTCAATTTTTTATATGTGTTTGCTTTTTTAGGGAAAAGCTTCCCCCAATACATCTATTATTGACTTGACTATCTTTGGGCTCTTAATCGCTTCATACCCTAGAAAGATCCAATTATCAATAACTTCTATGTGTAGGAGAAAACTTGAATTAAATATAGCCTACCACTGACTTGACGATCTCTGAGCTATTCAAAATCGAGTCGTACTCAACAAAATTACTGTTAATACTCTTTGTAATCTAGTGGAATGCTGCTGTCAAAACGGAGTCCTTTGGACTCTACTTGATTGTTCGCGCGCTGTGAACTACCACGATAACCAACCGACCTTTGAAATCTAGATTTTGAAGATATTCTAAATAGATTGGCGCCGACCTTCTTACCTCTTTAGATCATCTTAAGGATCTAAGGATACGTTACTTTTAAACATGTAGTGGCCGGTGGTGGCAGCTATACTGGTTAAATGTTCTTCTAGGACAAGAATTCCCAAAGTTTTTCACTTCACGGAAACTTTGGGAAATTTCTTTAATTTCTTCTTATATCTTGAATTCCATTAACTCTATTACGAGCCCTAGGTATTGAAATTGCGCTACTCCTAATGAATTTGACACAAACTAGATATGTAAGTGACATTTTTAGTTTCGCGCGATTAAAGATCATGTTTTTGAATTACAATTTTTGTGTTTGAAGTGACGCCATTAAAATTTGTGGCATTCTACGTATCGGGAATGGAATAGACGATGCGAGTTGTTCACATTGAATATCACTTATGGAATTAGCAAAGGTTTAGAAGTTATCCTTATGGAATTAGCGAAGGTTTCGAAGTTAATCATAAGTGTTGAAAAATCTCATCCCCTTAAAGCCTCTCTTCGAAACGAGTCGTATTCTGGTCATTTTAAAAGTTCACCTAGTTGTAAAACCCAAAATATATAAGACCTATTGATCAGTGATCACTAACACGTTTCAATACTATCATCCACTATTTATTTACTTCAAGAGAGGGCGAGAGAGAGAGGATTACTTACATTATTCTATCAGTTTTTAAGGACATCATACTGATATACAAGATCTTATCGTAATTCTAAGGTCATTTATCGAAGGCAGCTATATTCATATTCTTTTGAACGTTCACTTCCTTGTAAAACCTCAAAATAGATAAGTCTTATGGATCACTGTTCCACTAATATACTAACTTTACCACTAAGAGGCTTCAAATAAATCATACGTGTGGACGAATGAAGGTATTCTTAAACCATTAAGTCTGATCATTCATAGAAAGCTTTACAGTGTCTCAAATTATCGACTCTCTAGGATCTTACAGGGAGTTAGAGACTTTAATCTAACAGTTTTTAAGGGAATCATTGTGATATTTCGGGCAGAGTTTGCAAAATTTTCCTTTCTTAAGAGTATAATGGTAAACCAATGACCTATTTGGTACAATCTTAAAAGCATTTCCTGATTGAAATACTAATCTAACACTAAATTCCAAGGATTAAAAGTTTAAAGGTCTTTAAAGCTTAATTTCAATAGACGTTTATAGTATTTTTTAATGGATTATGGGCTAGTCTTATGACGTTGCTATGGTCTAGTATATTAATTAGTCTATGAATTTGACTTTGGGCTATACTATGGACTAGTCCATTATGTATTCTATAGACTAGACTTTTGTGTAGTCGGTACAATAATCTATTGTCTAGAGACTAGTTTTTGAATTAGTCTTTGAGCTACTATATGGACTAGTCTATTATCCAGCCTATAGCATAGTATATTATCTAGCCTATAGCCTAGTCTATTGTCTGTTCTATAGACTAGTCTCTTATCTAGTCTATAGACTAATCGAATGTCTAGGCTTTATACTAATCTTTTCTCTAGTCTACTAGAATAGTTTTTTCCCTAGTCTATAGACTAGTCTTCCCTCAAGTCTTGAAAATTCTTTTAATTTAGGGTATTATCGTGATTATTGAGTAGTAACTAGAGACCTGCATCAGATTGCGCATTTCAATATTGAATATTTTTTAAGTGCTCTGGGATCTTGCAAGACCTTTAAAATGTCGATAAATTAATTGTTTCACTCATTCGGTAAGATTTCCCAACAAACGTAAGCAGTTACACAGTGCCCCTAATGTTAGGTGGTTCATCGAAACAATATTTGATTATCTGGAACTTTATAGTGAAAGAGAGAGGGAGATCAGGACTTATTTTACTTCTCATTGTAACATCATTTAAGGGAGTATGATGATATTTAGGATTTTATCTTTCTGATGATGGAACAAGTAGTAGCCTCTATCAGAATTGTTGTCACCATGTTTAGGGCAAAAACCTTCGATTCTCTGCAACTATGGAGAGAAAAAGGGAGAGAAAGGAAGAGAGAGAAATATGTCTTATTTGTATTCATCCGCTCCTCTACTAACAGCTTCTAATGTCACTAACGATGTTATCTTATCCATTTAGCAAGTAATGGATATCTGACAATATCCAAAGAATCATTTCTGAGTTGAAGAACTCATTATCTTTTAAGGCCGATCAGGCCTATAACTATTGTTTAGCATGGCTTTTCGTTCGCTTTAGAGTAATGCCTTACTTTGTGTAACTGTTTGAAGTTTGTATTCGTACTTGTAATCGGTTTACCTTGTTTTACTGGTGGAGATCATAAACAAATCTAACATTATAATGAGGTGGAGTCCAAATACTACTTTTGGAGACATACTCCGTTTAGGATTACAATTTCGTATAAAAAAGTATAGGTCTATTGGTTGAGTCTCTCGGAACCAATGTAGTATAACCTGTTTCAGTGTCAAAAGCTCTAATAAACTTAAGAGTCGCAAAAAACGTTCTAAAGAAGAGTTGTACTAGAAGAATAGATCTTATTGCTGGCAGGTCACATCATAAAAAGAAAAATAGACTATTTTAGAGTCATGAAAATGGAAGTTAGATCTTAATCCGTTTCATTAGTTTAAAGAAACTTTTCCAGCCATTATACCTTCTGTTAATGTTACAAAACGTTTAAGTGATTACGAGTAAGAGCTGGATCATTACATCGGGTGAGGACTTCAGATTCAGGTGCTTCAAGATATATGTAATTCTCCGATTGATCTGGTTTACATTATGTTACTTACCATCACTTAAACTAGGGCGGCAGTGTTTTAGAAAGTACTATGCTAGCTAGATGTGATATTGGATCAATTTTTATAGGTTATGACTCAAAGTTTTTTAAAAATATGCAAAATAATCAAAATATTAAGAAAATCAAAACAATAACTATTTAACTATCCCTGGCTGTAGAACAAATGTGTTTTATCTAAAATTCTTCAAAATAATTCAAAAAGAAAGGGAGGACTCAGGTTTTACAACAAATTTAAAGAAAAATAATTATAAAAAACAACTATTTTAAGTAGTTAAATAGTTACAAACGTAAAAAAAGTTTACATTTAAACATTTATAACAAATTATTAAAAAAAAAAAATAAAAATTAAATATGATCCTCCCACCAAAAAAGGTCCTTTAAATAAAAACTGAAAAACAAACTAAATAAAAGTTAAAATAAAGACCAAAAGTATACAAAATATTAACTAAATTATATTTAATACATAAATATTTATTTATTAATAAAAATAATATCAAATATATAACTCTTAGCTTTTTTGCTAAAATAATTAAAAAAGAAAAACAATAAAAATAATAATAAATTCCATTCCAGCCTTATATTTGATGTTAAAACTTTAATAATTAAAAGAAAACCTCTGCTCCTAATAAACAAACAAAAAAAAAAAATAGTTAAAATATTACAAACTAACCTAAAAAAACAAAACAATTATTTATTAACAAAAAACTAAAATTAACCCTAAAAATTATTAACCCTTAAAACCGCTTAAAACCATAAATTTTATAAAAAAACAAAAACTTTAAACAATTAACAAAAAATTGCATGTATTTGTTGTACTTAAATTGTGTTCATTTTTTGGACTTAAAAAAATTATTAAAAAAATATATTCGACAAAAGAAAAAACTCCCATTTACAAAAACATTTGACTATCATTTGGTATAAAATTTATAAAAAAAATAAAAATTAAATGTTTACAATTTTGTTAAATTAACATTTTATATAAAAAAAGATTAAAAGCCCCTTGTAGCACTTTACTTAAAATATATAGATTTTTTAAACAATATAACTCCCTCTATATGTAAAACCAAATTACCATTAAAAGGTATTCAAAATTCCTAGAAATATTTAGAAAGAAACAAACGAAAAAAAGCCTTTAAATATCCTTTAAATTCTTTTTGATAATAATTAAAGAAAACATTCTTTTAAGGATACTGTTAAACTCAAACACACGCCCATTTCAAAACGATTTACGACTAACGACCGATCTATCAGTTTAATAGAGTTTCTCCCCAAAAAGTTTTCTATTAGACTTGATTAGCTTAAAAAAACCCAAATTAACAAATTTAAAAATCTCTGGTATAAAATTATTGTTGAACTAATTAAAATAATATTTTTATTTAAAGTTTAAACAAACATTAATAACACCACTTCTTAAATTTTGAATGCCTTTTTGAAAAATATATATTGTAACTACTACAAATTGGTTGAAAACTCTACGTGATCCCTTTGTAAACAAATATATACATATATTAACAACAATTTTATTTAAAAAGAAAACTAACATGCTAATAAAAATTATTAAAAATTATATTAACAAAAAAACTAATATTATACAAATAAAATTATAAGAGTTTTATTGGGAAGTATTCTTAGGAAGCGTAAGTAGTTCAAAATTAACTTTTAAAATTTGATAATTTTTACTTCCAGCAAGAGATCTCAACACTCTTTTAGAATTGACTTCAGATTTAATTAGGCTCCACCTACATATCTAACTTCTACAGAGTAGTTTATATTCTAGTTTATAATCTACAGTCTAGTCTTCAGCCTAGGCTATAGTTTAGCCTTTAGTCTAGGCTATAGTCTAGTCTTTAGTCTAGTCTTCAGTCTAGTCTATACTCTAGTCTATAGTCTAGTCTATAGTCTAGTCTAGTCTATATAGTCTAGTCTATAGTCTAGTCTATAGTCTAGTCTATAGTCTAGTCTATAGTCTAGTCTATAGTCTAGTCTATAGTCTAGTCTATAGTCTAGTCTATAGTCTAGTCTATAGTCTAGTCTATAGTCTAGTCTATAGTCTAGTCTATAGTCTAGTCTATAGTCTAGTCTATAGTCTAGTCTATAGTCTAGTCTATAGTCTAGTCTATAGTCTAGTCTATAGTCTAGTCTATAGTCTAGTCTATGTCTAGTCTATAGTCTAGTCTATAGTCTAGTCTATAGTCTAGTCTATAGTCTAGTCTATAGCTCTAGTGTCTATAGTCTAGTCTATAGTCTAGTCTATAGTCTAGTCTATAGTCTAGTCTATAGTCTAGTCTATAGTCTAGTCTATAGTCTAGTCTATAGTCTAGTCTATAGTCTAGTCTATAGTCTAGTCTATAGTCTAGTCTATAGGTCTAGTCTATAGTCTAGTCTATAGTCTAGTCTATAGTCTAGTCTATAGTCTAGTCTATAGTCTAGTCTATAGTCTAGTCTATAGTCTAGTCTATAGTCTAGTCTATAGTAGTCTATAGTCTAGTCTATAGTCTAGTCTATAGTCTAGTCTATAGTCTAGTCTATAGTCTAGTCTATAGTCTAGTCTATAGTCTAGTCTATAGTCTAGTCTATAGTCTAGTCTATAGTCTAGTCTATAGTCTAGTCTATAGTCTAGTCTATAGTCTAGTCTATAGTCTAGTCTATAGTCTAGTCTATAGTCTAGTCTAGTCTAGTCTATAGTCTAGTCTATAGTCTAGTCTATAGTCTAGTCTATAGTCTAGTCTATAGTCTAGTCTATAGTCTAGTCTATAGTCTAGTCTATAGTCTAGTCTATAGTCTAGTCTATAGTCTAGTCTATAGTCTAGTCTATAGTCTCTATCTATAGTCTAGTCTATAGTCTAGTCTATAGTCTAGTCTATAGTCTAGTCTATAGTCTAGTCTATAGTCTAGTCTATAGTCTATAGTCTATAGTCTAGTCTATAGTCTATCTATAGTCTATAGTCTAGTCTATAGTCTAGTCTATAGTCTAGTCTAGTCTCTAGTCTATAGTCTAGTCTATAGTCTAGTCTATAGTCTAGTCTATAGTCTAGTCTATAGTCTAGTCTATAGTCTAGTCTATAGTCTAGTCTATAGTCTAGTCTATAGTCTAGTCTATAGTCTAGTCTATAGTCTAGTCTATAGTCTAGTCTATAGTCTAGTCTATAGTCTAGTCTATAGTCTAGTCTATAGTCTAGTCTATAGTCTAGTCTATAGTCTAGTCTATAGTCTATCTAGTCTAGTCTACAGTCTAGTCTATAGTCTAGTCTATAGTCTAGTCTATAGTCTAATCTATAGTCTAGTCTATAGTCTAGTCTTTGCTGCAGATCCCCAGGCCTGTTTTGTCTCCCAGTTTAAATTAAAGGTTCCTACGGGTACTTCCTGTAATGTTTCGTCTGTCCATGATGTTCTATTTTAGATCAGTACATCCCGACAAATACTGTCTCTGGGGTGGGATCGAGTACTTCGAAGTTTGTGAATCACCTTCTAATGTGCTCAGTATTAATGACTTATACTATAATCGACTTTGGTCAATTCGTTACATCTAACCACGCTTTTATAATGCTAGGTTGTCTAAGGTCCTACGTTTCCCCTACACCAATGTGCCTTCTTGATCCTACCATCTGGTGTTTGGTATTGTAAATCAGCAGTATCGGTCCATGAATTTAAAAAAATTATAGTGCTAGTTATGTAAATCGTAATAACAAATACCGAAAAAATCGTTCCATAATGACCTAAGTTCCTTTATAGGCTCACGTTTCGAAAATCACTTTATCACTCATGTTTTGAAGGGGGCCATATAATATCCGTCATGACCGAATATGATTGACATCAGAGATGGCAAAATTAGTGCTATAATTTTTTTTTAATGTTAAAAAGTACCTTGATACTCCACAGCCTTATTTGATACTCTCAAAGTACCTTCAGAGCATTGCATCATATTATTCAAATATAAACTTTATCAACTAGAAGTTCCAGAAAAAAAACGGATAATAAAATTGTAGAGTAATTGAGTTCCCTTCAATATTACCAGAATATAATTCTAATTAAAATTCCGTTGTAAATATTTTATGAGAAATATTAATTTGGAAAAAGTATCATTTTCCATCCCTGGCTAAAATACTGTAATTACATTTTACTCACATTATTCTTACATACAATTTCTTCTTTAAATAAGTGCAATAATTTAATAACAACAACATATGAATGATTTGCTAATACATACCCCTCATACTCTCCCACTCAACAACACTCTTTTTCGTATTTGGCTGCATACAAATGGCCGCCCTGGACACAAATAAACAACGACCGCCTTCTAACAATTGCCTTAACAAATTTGGCAAATTACACATTTTTATTAAATTTTCTAACACTTTTTTCACTAGTTTCTAAAATTTTTTCATAAATATTTTTATATAACGATATTAATTAACATTTGTTTAATATTATGCAACAAATATATTTTATTATTAACAATTAATTAACATTTTAGCTTAATTCAAACAGTATCATTAATCCTAAACAACCGAACACTTTAGAAATCTTAAGAAAACTAATGGAAAGGAACAATAACAAAAATGCATTCATCACTTGTTGCAGTTGTTGTTGTTATTGTTATTAGATTTTGCTCTTTAAATGGAGCACTAATAATAACAACAACAATGACATTTGTTGCTTTAGTTTTTTTTGTCTTCTTCTTTAGTTGTTAAAAATTTCTTAAGTGTTCGGTTGTTCTGTGTAAATAGTTCTGTTTAAAATTTTAGATAAATTTTAACTAATTGTTTATATTTAAATATTTTTGTTGAAAATTGTTTATAAATACCGTTATGGAAAATGTTTTTAAAAAAAGTGTTAAATTATTAGTTAAAAAAAGTATTTTAAAATTTGCCAAAAATTCAATGCAATTTTGTTAGACCGAGTGCCGTTCGGTTGTCTTCTTTTGTCGAGCCATTCGTTTTGTTAAGTGATGAGAAAGCGGATAGTGCGATAGTTTTGAAAGAATAAAATTTGTTTGAAAAAAAGGAAAGGGTGTGAGAAATAATGAATAAAAGTTAAACAAAAGGAGTTGGGTGGAATGTATGCATGTAAATATAAATATACATATGTATGGATGTATGTATGTGCTGCCAAATGGAAATATTGTTTTTGTATGCAAGGAAATACAAACGGCAGAATATCGTTATTTAAACAACAAAAGAAAAAGGTGAGTGATTTGAATGAGCTTGTACAATTTGTTTTTGTTTCTTTATTAAATTTATTTTTTTTCATATATTAAATTTGACCATAAAAAGTCTATGGTCTTCGCTAATGAACAATCTATAATCTAGACTATAGAACAGTTCATATTCTTCACTATAGATCAGCCTAT